AATAGCTTTTCACATGTTAAGAATGTTACAAGAGAAGCATATGAGTAATTTGAGGGAATCTGAATGCCTCTTATGACTCCTCCTTTAAAAACTGATCTCCAGCTCTGTTTTCTAAAGAGAATATTGTTGCAACAGTCAGGAGAGCTTCAAGCTTGATGTGTAGAGCTAAAGATCACAACATTACAAAGCCATAATGGAGATGAATTCTAATGGATAGATGGATATAGGCTGATATGTTAATATACCTGTTTAACTTGATAGATATTAATGGTCATGACAAATTTATAAATGTATTTGGATCTACATTTATCATTTTGCTGCAGTATGTTAAAAATTTGATTATTTTGAATCTTTCAAAAAGCTATTGCTAAGCACAGCTCCAAACTCCACTCAAGCTTGCTAAGTGGCAATTCAGTCATATACAAAATATTTCAATATATTATTACAGATTTTTATCTTTAATTACAACAGTCCTGACTTTTCATCAGTATCATTCCTGTCACTGGGCATGACACATATAAATTACTAGAATTAATTCTTTTCAGAGCACTATTTACAGATTGAAGCCAGCAAATTTAGATTGCACCTAGACACATTATTGCATTTTGCTTTTTTCCCCTCAAACCAATGTGAACTCCCTAAAAAATCAACCTCTAGCTTGTAAGAAAGATTGTGAAATTAAATATAGGTTGTATACTGAGCTGATTAGAAACAAGAAATGAAAAATTTGAGCTTCAGCTTACAACATGCTGAGCATTGGTACCTCCTAGAAAGGTCAGGTTCTCCTGGGGATGCAGATCCTCTGCAATGTACTTAGGAATAATCCTTTGTTCCCCCAGGTAAGAAATGGCAGGTCTACCAATGTGAGTTGAAAACATTCTGTGGCCTACAAAAGCCTAAAAACCAGCAATCTTTATGTTAATACTTGGCAGAGATTAGTTTCAATAAACACCTGGATAATGTTTTTTGTAGGAAACCTTCTATGTTATTGGTTATCTATGATCTGGACTTCTCAAAAGAATATGTTACCAAAAAGGGTTTAAATCCTACAATCCCAGTGGTGGATTTTGAAGTACAAAGATTAAATTTGCAACATAGTAACATGGAGAGAGAACTTGAAGCCAAAGCCAGGTATCCTCACATCTATTGTACTGTCATCAGATGCCCAAACTTTGACACACCATTTACTGAAAGAGTATTTGATTTATTCACAGATACGCCCCAATGACATTTCTAGGCAGGACAGAATAGAGCTGTGAAGTGAACAGGGACAAAAATGGTATACCTCTTGCACTTCACTTGTTACCCGCACAAGAGACGATCCCCAACCTCCTCAGAACTTCCATTACATCTGTCCCTACTTCTTCCCTGAAGCCACCTGTCATTCTTCCTGTGGAAGAGTGCAACTGTGTGAGCTGTGTGAACACTGCCATTACATGAAGTTTTATTAAATGCTGTTTGATTATCAGGAGATTGGGATGCTTATAAATTAGATGTTTGATGATTTCATTTCAGGATAGGTCAGAAAGTGAAGCTGCATTTGTATATTCAAATCCAGCAGCAAAATCCCACATCTTTTAGAGCAGTGAAGGAAGTGCCAGAAGCTTTGGCTAGTAGATCTGCTCTCTGCTCAGCCCTAGTGAGGCTACATCTGGAGCACTGTGTCCAGTTTTGGGCTCCTCAGTACAAGAGAGACATGGAACTCCTGGAGTGGGTCCAGCAAAGGGTTATGAAGATGATCAGGGGACTGGAACATCTCTCTTACTAGAAACTGAGGAAACCGGGCCTGTTCAGCCTGGAAAAGAGAAGGTTGAGAGGGGATTTGATCAATGTATCTGGTTTTTTATTTATGTATTGGGGGGGGGGGGGGGGGGGGGGAGGTGGTGTGCCAAGAGGATGGAGCTGGGCTCTTCTTGGTTCTTCCAAGCAATAGGACAAGAGGCAATAGTCCGATGCACTGAAAGTTCCACCTGAATTTATGAAAGAACTTTACTGTGTGGTTGTCTGAGTACTAGAACAGATTTCTCAAGAGATGTTCTATAGTTTCCCTCACTGGGGATACTCAAAAGCTGCCTGGACACAACCTTGAGTAACGTGCTTTTGGAAAACCCGGCTTGAGCAGGGAGTTTGAACCAGATGACCCCATCAGTGATCCTTTCCAACCTTACCCATTCTGTGATTCTGTAATTCTGTGATGTTGTACTAATACAAATGAGTCTTCTGTGATAAGCTTGGCTCTGAAGAAAATTTCTCTTTCTAGCCCTCAACCACAGAGCATAAAGGTAGAAAAAGTGGGTTTCTTGTAATGGATCCTATGAAAACCACAGGCCAAGCACAGCTTGTCATTACTCCAGCATAATTTTCTATTAAGGTAATAGAAGCAAGAAAATAATCCTTTTTCCCAGAGTATATTCCTTGTTTGTTCTGATTATTGGCTGGTGCTCTGCATTACTAGCAGCCATTCAGAATCTAGCCACATTGTGAGCAACCTGAAATTATTTATTTATCCTTTATCCTTGTGGTGTAGAAGGCCCATAGTTTCATCAAGAGTCAAAGCATGGATTGACAAGAGTGGCTTGCTCAAGGCCACACGAAGTCTGCAACAGAGCTGGGATCACATCTTGCTTTGAGGGACATAATCTACCCTGATTATATGAAGGCAGTTCATATGAGGGTAAAGTGAATCAAATATTGTTGACCGGAGGTCTGTGGTCCCATTCAGTTACACATACTCAGACTGTTCATTGTCCAATCTAGAGTTTGAAGTTTGCTAGTGTTCATGCATACCCACACAGAATTGACAGAGCACATACATATAAGAGAGCTAGAAACAGGATTGAATTGAAATACAGGATAGGCTGTGGTGATCAGACATACGGCTCAGCTAGACCTGACTGTCCCCTTTCATCCCCTTTTTTCTTTATTTTCCCGTGTTTTTTCTTCCTCTAGCCACCTCAGACTATGCTTCTCCCTTCCTTTGGTCTATGCCCTAAACTCTATGGTAGATAAGTCTTGTATGTTCTCAAAATACTGCTCCCACTACATCCCTTAATGTGTCCTATACCATGAGCAATAATCATGTGTAGTTTGCAAGGCATTTGGGAGTTTCTTGGCAGACATCACACCAGATAAGAAGGCTTAATCAGTTTTCTCTGATGTGCTTGGGAACAGCCAATGTTGCATGCTCCATTTTCCCTGATGAAGTTACGGAGGTTTCTCTGCCTTTGTTCTCCGTGCATCTTTGTGTTAACAGGGATTACACTTTTAATCATGTAACTCAACACCCAAAAGGTAATCAGAAATCACTCTGGACCCTTTATTCTTTGATGACTTCTATGTGATAGTTAGCTATGAGGGGTTAAAATAGCATTGAAGAACTAACAGAAGCTAAATGCTAGGTATTCGAATAAAATACTTATTTTAAATAAAAAATTAAATTCATCCTTCCAAATGCTATGAAATCCTTATCAGTAAATCTCCTCAAGCTCCTCTAAGTTAAACATGAATTGTAAGAATTCTGCTTGAAACAGTATTATCGTGCAGATTAGCTGAGCACAGTTTTAGAAATCATTTGGCAGCTTTTTGCTGCTGTAATTTGGCTTTAATTCTTAGCTAAAATACCTTCTGCACTAAGCCTGCCTCTTCAGCTCTTAAATACATGCTGCAAGCTTTTTAGAGAGTTAAACTTTATTCTATACACATGCAGATCTACTTATGTACTTGACAGACATACAGAGGAATACTTTACAAGCAAAAGGTACCACTTAATGAATAGGCTGTGATTTTCCCATGAAAGCAGAATGGTACTCAGCAACGTGGGTTTCTTCTTGGTCATCATATACTGAAAAATGATGTTCCTTAAAAGAAGGCCCACTCCTGCTCCCATAGAAGCCAAGTGAGGTCAGGATTGGGCCTCTAGACTGAAAATGCAGTTTAAGTTTTCCAAATGCTGGATTTCAGAGCTTTACTAAGATAGTAAATCTCACAGGCTAGCTCTGACTTCTGTTTGTGTTAACTTCCCCTGTTCTCAGCACTGGTGAGGCCACACCTCAGGTACTGTGCCCAGTTTTGGGCCCCTCAATTTAGAAAGGATGTCGAGGTGCTGGAGTGAGCCCAGAGAAGAGCAACAAAGGTGGTGAAGGGTCTGGAGAACAAGTCCTATGAGGACTGGCCAGAGGAGCTGGGGTTGTTTAGTCTGGAGAAGAGGAGGCTCAGGGGTGACTTTAGCACCCTCTACAACTACCTGAAAGGAGATTGTAGCCAGGTGGAGGTCGACTCCTTCTCTCAAGCAGCTAGTGACAGGATGAAAGGACATAGTTTAAGCTGCATCAGGGGAGGTTTAGGCTGGACATTAGGAGGGACTCCATAGGGAGTGTTATTAGACATAGGAATGGACAACCCAGGGAGATGGTGGAGTCACTGTCCCTGTAGGTGTTTAAGGGAAGACTGGGCGTGACACTTTGGTGGCGTGGTCCAGTTCACACGGTGGAGTTCGGTCATAGGTCGGACTTGATGATATCAGAGATGTTTTCCAACCTAATTGATTCTGTGATTCTGTGACTGACTGGCTATGAAAATGTTTCTTTTCTTCTGGTTAGGGAATGAAGTTAAGGGGAAGCTTTTTGAGAGCAACGTACCCCTATCTCATTGCAGAAGAGGTTGAGCGAGCATTTACGCCGTTCGTGAGGGTACAGCCCATCTGCAGGGGTGCAGCTCTGACCCAGACTCTTCCAGGTGTTACTGAAGGGCTCCTGCCCGCCGCCGCACGGCAAGCGGAGGGTTTGTTATGTGACACGCTAAAGCCACCACAACCCTGCACGGTCCCCAGAAGCGGTCCTGGGTGTCCGACGGGCAGCAGCAGCGAGGGGCTCCCAGCGGCGAGGCCGGGCGGGCCGGGGCGGCAGCCGCGGGTGGGCACGACGGCCCAGCGGGGCGGGGCGGCGGCGGCACCGCCCCCGGGCCCTCCCCCGGCCCGGCCCCCGCCCCGCCGCTCCCGCCGCAGGCTCCGTCGGGCCGCACTGGCGGAGCAGCCCCGAAGTTTGCGGGGCGGCCGGCGTGGGGCCATGTGGCTGCTGTGGCTGCTGCTGGGCTCGGCGGGTGAGTGCGGGCAGGGGCGGCGCCCCGGGGCGCTGCCCGGGAGCGAGGGGGCGGCTCCGCTCGGCGGGGGAGGGCGCCGGGGCCTCCCCACCGCCCCCCGCCTCCGCTGGGCGGCTCGTGGCGGGCCGGGGGCACCGCCGGCCGCCCCTTCCCGGGCCGCTCTCGCCGCTGTGCCCTCCCCTTCTCTCCTCTCCCCAGGCGGGCCCGGGATGCCCGCGGCGGGGGCGCGGCGTGTGCGGCTCGTCCCCTCCCGCCCCTCGGGGCGTGCTCGGGGTGGTCCCGGCCCCGCTGGGCTGTGCGGGGCCGGCCCGGGGCGAGGCGCCTGGAGAGGGCGGTGGGGCTGGGGTGGACCTGGGGTCGGGCGACCTGGTGTTGAACCGGGCGTCGAAGCCGCCGAAGGGGCCGCGGCTCTGCCGGCACATCCCGGGCCGGGCCCCCTTGCCGAGGCCGCTCGGGGCGGGGAGGAGGCGGTGCAGCCAACCCCGCCGGTGGGGCCGCGGCAGGATGTGCCCGAGGGTTCTGCCCGGCTTCGCTGGGGGTGCGGAAAGGGGATTTCCTACTTTTTGTTCATATTCGCCTTTATAGATACTCTCACATCCCCCCTTCCCGCCTCGGCCGGCATATGTCTGTCAAAGTCGGCGAGTTGATGATGTTTTGTGCAGCTTTGCTGCAGGTGTGAATTATTTCTGCAACATGATCTTAGCGGGCGCTTTTCCAGACAGTGTAAGTAGCCTGGCTGCGTGCTGCTGTGTCTTGTTTCCGAATCACGCCTTGGCGATGAGGTGATGACACACAGTGGGTAAAACTCAAGATTATCAAGCTCAAATTATTTTGTTTTGTTTTCTTTTTAAAGAGTATTTGTTGTCACGAAGAACACAACTGCAAATTGCGACTGTGACTTTCATAAGTCTTGTGTAGGTTTAAGTGTCTTCGCAAAACTTTTAGCAGTTCCTTTTTTTGAAAGCTTCAGGCAAAGGACAAGTTTGTTTATCCATATTGTGTTGCCTTCTTCCTTATTAATTTCCATTTTACTACTGCCAAATTTTCACCTAATTATTCATGAAAAGTTATATGTTTCCATGTATTGAATATATTTGCTTATAATACCACCTTTAGATTAGCATGGAGGGTTCCCTTCTACAAGATCCTTATCTTTACATATGAAGGTTTCCCAGCCACCCACACCCCATGTGTTCCACCTTGGCTTGGGGGCAGTGACCAAAAAGACCTGTTTCTTGTATGGAAGTTGGTACCTCAGCTTTTTGACTGCTGAACTGCCATTCTTGCACAACATTCTTGCAGTTACTTAACCAGAGACTCTGGCTTACTTTGGGGCAGATTCAAAGAACTTTCTGAAACCTTTTTTTTCATGTGTTCTGTTTGTCTTTTGAAAAAATAAAATATGGGGTCTTTGGGGATTTGTTTTTCAAATGTTGCTTCCTCTGTATATTTTGGCACCCCTGCAAACTTCCCACAGGGAGCATTAGTTTGTCTCTGCCTGACCTTCACTCTGTTTTGAATTTTACTTCTGGTAACTCCTGAAAATATTTCTTTTCCTTTTGAGTATTTTTTGAGTACAGAAACCTTGAAACCCTGGGATGCATTTCAGTTAACAGAAGATAAACACTGTATAGTGTCCCTGTCTAAACAGTTTTCTGTTAGCGTGCAGAAGTAACTGCAGACTTGGATTGTCAGTAAACTTTGCCTTGCAAATGTTCAAACTTTTATTTGCATCTTTATTCTTAATATTGTTGTTGGATCAAATAGTGTTTTTCATCCTGGAGGACCCTGTCTGCATGGGAAAGGTTTTTTCATGTTATGATACGTATAGTGTGAACTTACACCAGGCTGTTAATTTAAGTTTGTAGTTGCAACTGATAACTGACCAGAAGGAGACTATGGATCAGGAGTTTTAGCCTCTCTTCCCTGCTCAGGAGCTCCCTGATTACCTTGCTTTCCTTTTCTAGTCCCCACCTCATTTCAAGTCTCATCAAGCTCTTGGGTAGTGCACACACCATGCACACCCAGTTTCTTTCATCTCTCCATGCTCTTGCCAGTATAAGCAGGTCAGGCTCAGCTCCGATTCCCTCCTGCTGCCCTGTACAAGTCATAGTGTGACCTTGTTTCCAGCAATTTACTTTGGCTTGGTGTCAGCCCAGGAGTTCCTGGATGTAGGTTAGGTCCTGCAAGAATTCCCGTTACCAACTCAGAGTGTAACAACTTTTTCTGGTTAAATTAATGTCTGTTGATTACAAAAGAGACATCTATGTTTATCTTCATCTACTGTTTGGCATAATCCAAGGTGATGTGCACACAGCTATAGTGAGTTTTGGAAAGGATTGTTTCAGAGAATGGAAAGTACATTTTAGCTGAAAAACTGATAAAATGTAAATGGTCCCTAACAGAAAAATGAGCTCTGTTTTGAACACAGGTTTAGGTGTTTTTTTTCTTCAATCTGTCCATTAAGGACAGAAGTGATGGCAGGAGTCAGAAACACTTAGGTAAATTAATTAATTTTAAAAGTATGATTACAAAGTGAGCGGAAAAGGGAGATTATAGTTTTTTCCTGACAATTACAAACCTTCCTCTTTTAACTGTGAAATAGGTTTTAAAATGTTGGTCTTCAACTGACTGGAGAATCAAAATACAGTGCACAGCTGAAATTCCTGAGTATCATCCCAAGATATCACAGTCCAGTGTAAGGACCTTTTTGATGCATAAGTCAAATAAATAATGTAGATATTATACCTGTTAAAGTATACTCAACTTGCTCTGTATTAGGAGGAGGCTTCTGTGTCTTGTTCCCTCCAGTCTTTTGGTTTAATACTGTTAGATTCAGGACCCTGTTCCACAGACAGCATAAGCACGCAGGGCCAAACAAGTGCTTTGTCACATTTTGCAACTACATCTCAAAAGTATGGAAAAAAACGGAACACCCCTGATATCAAGCAGGGGTAGGAGCTACTTGAAGCGTCATGTTCCCACATTAATCTGCATTGTGTAATAGCTGCTAGCTTAAAACTTCCACATGCTAGTGAAGAAATAGCCATTATTTCCTTACGTGAGTCTTCATGTATACTAACATTCAGAGGTATTGCTATGAGTAGAATTTCTTTGCTGAAAACAAATGTACTCATGGGAGGAGTATTCAGCACTGCTGAGTACTGTACTGCCATATAAGCAAAGAGCAAGAAAAGAACTCTCTACTTGGATATTTGGGTCTGTACTATGTATTCAGTAGATCTGTTTTGTATTTTTCAGGCAATCCTCTTAAAAACTCTTAAACGAAGTTTAGTCTTCATAACCAGTGTTTGTCTCTCTCGGCACACAGGCCAGCTGTGGGTGTGTGCAGCACATCTGTGTGTGAGAGATGGACAAGGGCTTGGGTAGTTGGCAAGTCACAAGAATTCCAGCTTGGGATAGTAATAGGATAAATAGACGATAAACTACAAATAATGGATATTTGCTGAAGATACAAGTCTGACAGTGGTCATGATGAGAAAAGCCAGGAAGTACTAACTTCAGTGCAAAGCTCCACATCCATGCTGAGGAGAAGGTGGGATTTCTCACAGAAGCCAACACCCACAGACAAGGTCTCTTGAATCAGTTCCTCGTTATTAGAAGTTTGATGTTTGAGGCAGTTGTCAGACTTTGCTCTTGCAATTACAGGTTTTATACAGGGACTAAAGTAAGCAGAGGATGATTTTGGGGGGATTTTTAATAATGTCGGGGAAAGTGATGTGTCCTTGGCTAGACTTAAGTGGATTGCTGTTCTCCTTGGATGTGAGGAGTTTCAGGGCTCAGGAGCTTCTAGCCATCCCATCTCACTTGGGATAATTCTGCCACAACAGGAGTCTGCAGTTGCCAAGTTGTCAGGGTGGAAGCATATCTGCATTGTTGCAGTCACATGTTGTGATAGGAAGTGGATATCATTAACTAGAAAATGCATAGTAAAAATGCACCTTTAGTACAAATGTGACATAAATTGTTACAAGGGTGCAAGTCAGTCTGTCATACCAGATACATTGTGAGACCAGCAAGCTCCATACCTCTTTGATGCAGAAATTTCCTGCTGATACTGTAATATTTTTATTGTGACAACAGGAACCTGCATCCTACTTTGATTTGTATGCCAATTATCTACCAGGTGAGGAATAAAATGGCTCTCTTTGCTGTAAATCTGGTAGGCTGTAACAGGGTGATGATGGTTTGTTAGGCAGCAGTGATGAAATGAGCTGTGGTTCAAGCATCTCTGTGTTTCAGGGCAGTAGTGTGGGAATACAAAATTAATTTATCACTGGGAGACATAATTTGTTTCAGGTTTTTTGTTTGTATTTTTAAATTTTAATTTATTTTTCGAAACTGGTAAATTTTACCTGAATAGCTTCTGCAATATATCCTGTTCTCTTGTCTGTGTAAGCAGAAGTGCACTAATGGAGTAGACCTGAAAAATCTGTGGTGCGAGATCTGTTGTGATGGTAGCAGTGCTCTCCATTTCAGTGTCTTGTTCATTGTGCAAGTTGATGAGTTGTATGAATTGGTAGGAAGCCTTGGAGGCTTTAGTTATCCTACTTGCTGCAGACTGAAGCTACAGGTATTCTACCCTTGGTAGAAGGCACTCTGTTATAAGTATTTCAGCTGGTATTTTCAGGCTCTGTATTTGAAAACAGTTTCATTATCAGCTGGGTTTTGAAAATAAGGAAGGAGAAAGATCTTGGGTCTCAATAGTTGGGTTTGGATGGTTTTGAATTTTAAAGTATTCAAGCGTAACTCTTCTGCTCTGGCAGGATCTCATAATGGGGTATGCTAAGATGCAGAACGGAATATTTCAAGTGAAAACAGTTTTAATGATGTATTTTAAGGTATCTCTCAAGTGAAACACTGAGTAGAATGCCCTTTGCCTGAAATGTAAATAGATCATAGCTGGAAGTAATTGTATAGTCAGCTATTAGTATAATCATTTGCCATAGATTTACTGACTGCTGTAGCATTTTTGAGGG